CTGCCGCTGCCCGAGCTTTTGTGTGCTGTATGCGGGGAGAGAGAGAGAGAGAGAGAGAGCAAACGTGAATGAAAGTTTTTGTGGGACAACCACTACGTCAGAAAAGAGGGACTCGCGCGCGCGGGCGCTATAAAAGGCGCCGGGGGGAAGGGGGTGAGCTTGCAAGCTCGTGTGTACTATATACGTGTGTGCACACACAGGGGAAGAATGCAGCAGCAGCTCTCTCACTGAAGCGCGCGCGCGATTTTACGAGGAAGGGGAAAACTGCTACTGATTTATATATAACCCGAAAGATAAAGAGGGTATTTTTGGTTCTCGGGGTAGGAGGAGGTTCTTGCACTTCTCGAGAGAGAGAGTGAGAGGCCTTCGTACCATATCCTCCTCCTCCTCCTCCTCCTTCTCCTCGTGTTATGGATGTATAACGTTTTCTCTGTGTGTCGTACGTATAATATACACGAACCTATTTCCTATAATACGTTGTTGTGCGGTACGTATGTGTCGCGCCGCGAGTGCAGATGTCACCTTGTCAAGAGGGTAATAATAATCTTATGTACTTTTCATTGTCAAAAGGATGAAGTCGACATAAAATGCGTTTGCAGCTTTGTCATTTATATTATTATTATATACATCTCGTGCCTCGCGTGTGCGCTCGTAAAAGTTTTAACGATAATAATAAGAGTACGAGTCTCGCGACGAGGATTCGTTTCGGTTACATTTGTTGCGAGTATAGATCTCTCGATCAATTATGTATGACGTATTGCGTGGCTTTAATCGAGATGAAAATGATTGAAACGAACTATTAACTTTACCGAATTGTTTTTCTTATATATTTCAATTTAATGCACTACAATTTTTACTGTTTAAGTTTCAGAACGAATTAATGTGAGAATTACGCTTTAATTATCACTTGAATTGTTATGGAGGTATTACAGGATTAGTCAAAGATTTATAAATGCTTATATCATTATCAGAAAATTGATATAAATATTAGAAAAAAAGAAGCAATAAAAAACCATCTAATAACCCTTTTCCAATGCAAAATACGAGTTTTTGCATTCTCGTCTTGAATTAGTCAAAAATACTCGACGTAAAATGCCGCACATTTTCCGAATTCTATCTGCATCATTCATCTTCATACATCCCCAATCGATATCATCCATCACGGTTTTACAAGTTCTTATTAAAATTTCAAGCTATTAATTCCTCGATACACGGGGACAGTTTTATTTCCAATTCAGCGACATTCTTTCAACGCTCGCATTATTTTATCTTCTTTTTTCCTTTTTCTACACTATATTCGCTCCACTCTTCCTTTGCTACGTTCCTTTTTTCTACTTTCAAGTTCTAGCTAGTTTTCTTCCGTGCCTTCCTTTCTGTTTCTTTTTTTTCCATAGCCTTCCTTTCTCTGCTTAAGAAAGAAAAAAAATATCTGTCAAAGCTCATCGTACAATTTAAGTGCCAAAGCCGGCAGGATTCATTCTTACTCGTTTCAACTTTTCGAGATAGGGGTGATATAAAGGCGGTTTTGGAATTGACAAATGTGTAACAGCTTTACAATTCAATTGGTTACAGGCGCAGTTTAAAACGTCAAAATATAATATAACAATAGAAGTTTGTGTTGGAGTATATCTTGAGGTAAAAGTAATTTAATAGAATTTAATATCAAATATTAGGACAGGGTAAAGCTATCTGACAGGCAAAGTGGTTTTTTTGTAATCTCAAAATTAAAGCTGGCACCTTACCGTGAAAGAATGAAATACAACGAAGAGAAATAATTATAAATTATGATTTTATTATTATTGTTAAAATTGAATTAATTTTCTATTTTTTACTTTTTTATGTGCAATAAAAAAACAATTTTTACAAATTATACAAGTAAATTTATGATTAAGATCAAGCGGTTTTTTTTCCTCTGTTTTCGATTAAATTATTGTAAACTATATACGTAAATTACGATATTCATAATAAAAATAGTGACATATATTTCCATTGTGATGAATAATGTTGAAATCATAACAGATATTTTTAAATCGTAATTTACTATGAAATAGTAAATGCAACAATCAATTTGATATACATAATAAATTTCATTATTATAAGAAGTTATAAATCCAATGCCCTTTCCAATGAAATTTGGCGTAACCCGTGAGTTTGTTGTTTTCGCGTGTAATTATATTCGAAGTTAACACACAGGTAAAAGTAAATATTGTGCTTTGAAGAAGAGTATACGAGTAAATAGAGAAATTCTGCAATCTCTAATAGGTATATTAGGGCGGAACGAAAAAACACTTTTGACGCCGATCGCTTTGTAATAGTATTTTATCGAAAGTTTAAGATAAAAAAAGAGAAAAGCCGCGAGCTGGGCGCGAACAAATGATGTCTTCAGGTGGCGCATGAAGCCTGAAGTTTGAAATTCGTAAAAACAATATCTTTATGCTTCAGTATGAAATCGTTACCAAATTTTTCTGCACTGGATTGGCCGATTGGGCTGAAAGTTTCAGGGCTTGTTTTACATGTTGAAAGGAGTTTCTCTGTAAAATTTTAGCCCTCTAGGTGCCTTAGAAGCAAAGATATAGTCATAGGAAGGTTGAAAAATTACGTTACATTAATTTTTTTTTGTTCTTTTTCCATCTTCACACAGCTGTACGTTGCGTAATTTTGCTGCTATTAAAACGAACGAGTAACCAATTTCTTCGTCTTTTAAAGGCCTTTTCAACCATATAAATTTGTATAGTGTTTTTTAAATTTTTACTGAAGTTACAGTATAAAACGTCCAACATTTTGTGTCGCGCTCGAAACTACAATTGTTATTTTTTTTTCTGTTTCTTAAAAGTTACACATTCTAGACAAACTTGAACCCCAATGATAGTTATATGGCCTTAAAGAGCATAAAATTTCCTTTAATTTGGTGTATTTAAAAACTCTCTAGGTCCTCTAGAACCAAAGATACAGCTGTTTGAAGTTTTACCAAAAATGAAAGTACTGAATCTGTGAATCTATCATAGGCCAGATATGGTATGATCATCACACAATCGAATCTTACATTTTCAGTAAAACTTCAAACAGCTGTATCTTTGGTTCTAGAGGACCTAGAGAGTTTTTAAATACACCAAATTAAAGGAAATTTTATGCTCTTTAAGGCCATATAACTATCATTGGGGTTCAAGTTTGTCTAGAATGTGTAACTTTTAAGAAACAGAAAAAAAAATAACAATTGTAGTTTCGAGCGCGACACAAAATGTTGGACGTTTTATACTGTAACTTCAGTAAAAATTTAAAAAACACTATACAAATTTATATGGTTGAAAAGGCCTTTAAAAGACGAAGAAATTGGTTACTCGTTCGTTTTAATAGCAGCAAAATTACGCAACGTACAGCTGTGTGAAGATGGAAAAAGAACAAAAAAAAATTAATGTAACGTAATTTTTCAACCTTCCTATGACTATATCTTTGCTTCTAAGGCACCTAGAGGGCTAAAATTTTACAGAGAAACTCCTTTCAACATGTAAAACAAGCCCTGAAACTTTCAGCCCAATCGGCCAATCCAGTGCAGAAAAATTTGGTAACGATTTCATACTGAAGCATAAAGATATTGTTTTTACGAATTTCAAACTTCAGGCTTCATGCGCCACCTGAAGACATCATTTGTTCGCGCCCAGCTCGCGGCTTTTCTCTTTTTTTATCTTAAACTTTCGATAAAATACTATTACAAAGCGATCGGCGTCAAAAGTGTTTTTTCGTTCCGCCCTAAGGTATATATAATTCATTCGTCGACTCCAGATGTCGCATCGTCAAACCCTCAAACGGTCAAATTTATTTCGGTTCATAAATATGAGAAAAGTAACTTATATATATTAAATATGTTTCAGATTTCCCGCTCTTGTGATTAGTCTGATGAGGTCTAAAAAATTCTCGACGAAACGTCGCACCACACGAGAATAAACTGACGAACTTGGATCTTGCTGGGTTTTATATTAACATCATCGTTTTGTTCTACATTTATTGCCTAAACCGATCGATAGCAGAATTCCTGTAAATTTGACTATAATTACACTTACAATGGCAACTATCGGAATATCGATGGACACACTACATAACTTTATCGAAATTATTGTAAATATGAGAAATTCCAAAATAAAACATGTTACAAGAATTTTTTAAATATGTAATTTCATAACATAAAATTTACGATCGTTTATTGTACAATTTACTACAAGAATTATTCCTATATTAAAGAGCAAAAATAATAGGAATACCTAAATGTGACACTTTGAATAAATATTATAGTAATTTTTTCCACAGGCTCAACTAATATTTGCTGGACTAGTCTCTTCATGTACAATACAATAACTGTTGAAAACGAAAATTCTTGTGTGAAATACTCTCAAACAAGTAGTAAATTTTCCCAGAAGAGAGTACCTCATTTACTTAAGTAGTATTTCTCATCTGTGACAATAGCAGTCACTTATTCTGAAGACCACGCGTCGCTCCAGCAGCATCCGTCAACCTTCGTGAGTTATGTAAGGCCGGCCTGGCAATTCTGCGGAGAAACGCCGATAATTCAATGTCTGACGCATTAGTTACTTTGCTCCATCATCGCGTGTAAATTTAAAACCGAACAAATAAACTTGAGTAAACTCACCGGAACGTCGGCCAGAGTACGAAGTAAAATATTAAAAAAATTGTATCGTTACAATCGGTTGAATTTTGCAGCAAAAGTTCAAAATCAGCTTTACCGAGAATTGTATCGTCAATTCGTAATGATGAAATAATCGAGACCAGCTCATAGATCATCGGATAATGATATTAATTATTCAGGAAGTGACACGCCAGTGTGCGCGAGGCATATATTGATTAAAATAGTAGCTAGCCTGATGCAATGGACTTGACGCTGAAATAGTGAGCTATGTTTAGTATGATTTTTTCGAAGTTTTATAATTATTCAACAAACGAGCAGAAATGATAAATTGAGAGTTGGAAGATTTGTTTCGAGGATGTTGGTAACAAATTTTCCAACGCATTTAGAAATAAAAGGAAAATAATTCATTATCAATCAACATTTTTGTTCAACTCGATTTGTATCTATAATTTGCGTTGAATTTCGATTAAAAAAAAGTAGATGCTCATAAAAAAACTAGTTTATTTCAAGTTTATTTCGAAGCGCATGCGCATACGAAGTAGAAGGAAAAGATCGTTGCAATCGAGGCTGCAATGTCACTCACTGAACCGGTATACATCATTGTTGGGAGTCGCAGATTATCGTTGTAGACATCGTTGAGGTTATAAACATTGCATCTTCCAGTGAACCAAAACAATCGTTACCAAATTTTACTTCAGTTAGGATAAGAAGTGCGAATAACAATCGAACGACGAGTTTTGACAATACAATCGAAGCGAGTGATTTCGACAAACGATCACGAATAATAAAGGAAATACGATCGTTCGAGCCATACATAAAGTGCCACTATAGTGCTGTCATCCACTTGAGATTGTATTATCTCTCTATATGCGCGCAGTTATCTAGATTATATAACGCATGTGTGTGTGCGTGTGTGCGTGGGTGACTCAGGAACGTCAATGACAAACTGTCAGTGGTGCGTAGCGTAGCTCTCTAGTAAATACCAACCGGTTGTATACGCGTTTTACATCCCATTCGGAGCTTCGCGCGGTATAATTGTTAAATAAACTGCATAGAAGCCTCGTCCGCAGCTTTATCGACCGTAAAAGTTGATGTAATTGAGAGCGCGCAGAATGTGAGATATAAATTTTATTACGAGAGAATTTAATTCAATGGTATTAATTTGAACATTTGAAATATTTTTATACGGTACAATAGTATTATAAAAAAAAACATCAAAATGGCTGTAACGGTGTCTATTATTATCTACGGACTCATTGCCTTCGTAACTTTTGCATTTTATGCAATCGTCAATCAGTTCACTTACTGGAAACGTCGCAAAATTCCTCACATCACGCCTATACCATTGATCGGAAACAATGGACCGGTTCTCTTGAGGCTCGTCCCTTTTCCCGATCACTCGAAGATGCTTTACGCGCAGCATCCCGGCGCTCGCTACTTCGGAATGTTCGACTTCAGAAATCCGACGATAGTCGTCAAGGATCCGGAACTGCTGAAAGACATATTCGTTAAAAATTTCGACCACTTCACGGATCACGTGGCCTTCGTCAGCGAGGAGATGGATCCGATAGTCGGTAAAAATTTGTTCTCTCTGAAAGGCCAGAGATGGCGGGAACTGAGAAACACCCTGTCGCCGAGCTTCACCACGTCGAGAATGAAGGCCATGTTCGAGCTCATCGTCGAGTGTTCCAATCACTTTACGGATTATTTCGTCGAACATCCCGAGGTAATTGAAATTTCGTTGATTAATCAATTGCATATGATTAATTGAATTTTATTTCCATAGCTGGCCAAGGAATTCGAGGCGAAATCGGCATTCACGAGATACACCAGCGACGTCATAGCCACTTCGGCTTTTGGAATCGAGGTGAACTCGATGAAGAATCCGGATAACGAATTTTTCAAAAACGGCCAATCGTTCACGTCGTTCCCGGTAACCTGGATCGTCAAAATCCTCCTCATGACGATACTGCCGAAACTCATGCGACAGACCGGCGCGACCTTTTTGCCAAAGTCCACGGATCTGTTTTTCAAAAGTTTAATAAACGAGAGCGTGAAAATGCGACTGGAGCGGGGCATCGTCCGGCAGGACATGATTCATTTGCTCTGTCAAGCGATGGTGAAAAAGGACAATGAATCATCAAAAGTCACGATGGACGACTTGGTGGCTCAGTCGGTGATATTTTTTTTGGCCGGATTCGAGACGACCTCCAGCCTGATATGCTTCGTCTGTCACGAGCTCGCGGCCAATCCGGAGATACAGGAGCGGCTCCGAGCGGAGGTGGACACTCATTACGGGGAAGATCAAAGAATCACCTACGATTCGCTCGTCGGCATGAAGTATCTGGACATGGTGATGAGCGAGACGCTGAGAAAGTATCCGGGCGCGCCGCTGACCAATCGCGTCTGCACCAAGGATTACAGCTTCCCGCCGGCGATGGCAGGCTGTCCGGGCTACACGATGAAGAAGGGACAGGCCCTCATAATTCCGGTGTACGGCTTTCACACGGATCCGCGATACTTTCCCGAGCCGGAGAAATTCGATCCGGAGAGATTTTCCCCGGAGAACAAGGGCAAGATCGACCCGTACACGTACTTGCCGTTCGGCATCGGGCCGAGGGAGTGCATCGGCAAACGATTCGCCCTCATGGAGACGAAAATCATCGTGATCAACGTGCTGAAAAAATTCGTCATCAAGTTCACGGAAAAATCGGAGCATCCCGTGAGATTCGCTAAAAAGACATTCACCACCACGGCTCGAGGTGGTTGCTGGCTCAAGCTCGAACAACGCGTATAGAGATTCGACTAATTTTTCTTGTATAATTTTGTAGCGCACGATGCATAATAAAAAGATATTACACATTCGTAACAATTTTTAAATTTCTGGTAATTCATTTACGTATACGTCAGCGGAGTGTTTGTGCAAAAAGTCCGAGTATAGATTTTTACCGGGTATCGAAGCTATCTCGCGCGATGTTTCCTTATCTGGTGCGAGAACTCAAACGTATTATTATCGCCAATCGCACGGATATAGTAACGAAACTGCTCGGCGACACGCAATAAAAAATTGCGCCTCGCTATTGTGTGCAGTGCGCGTTCAGAAAACATAGAGATTAGCACGCAGCAGAGAGTAAGAGAGATGGACGAATACCAACCGAAAGAGAGAGAAAAAAAAGGAAAGATATAAAGTCGATTCGTATTCGATACCTGACCTAAATCCTGGCCCGCGTGCGCGCACACGGGGTATTCACACAACTCTCCGTGCTTTTCCTTTCCCGAACCGAACGTACAGCATGAGCCAGACGCAAAAAAGAAGCGCTGCTGCGCTGCTACCGTGCTGCTGGTAACAAAGAAGTTAAAAAGAGAGGAGAAGAGGACTGAAAAAAGCGCGTTTACTCGCCCAACGCCGCCACCGCCGCCGTGCCTCGTTTCAAGTCTAAACTTTCAGCCGGACGAAAAATATCGAAAAAAAAGGCAGAGCTGAGAGAGAGAGAGAGAGATGCCTCCATGAAAATAAAAAAGGCAACAAAAGCTATATACATAAACCGACTTTGAAGAGACTTTGCTTTTCCGGATCGATTTTGTTTTCTGCCTTGTTTTACGGGGGGGTTGCGTTGTCGAATCCAAAGCCGCGCAAGCTCGAAGCTGGAAAATAATTTTTTTTTTGTTGTACATCGCGTGTGGTGCACGTGCGCGCAGCAACACATACGCGCGACATTAACATGCCTCAAAGAGCCATTATCAATGCAATAAGTTATTTCGGTAATCCAGCCGCATTATACCCCCGCACCCGGTGCGAATTACGCATTATCAGTGTGCGGCGTATTGCATAATATAATATCGCGCGAGTCGCAGCGCGAGTAGCAGTAGTAGTAGTAGGGTAGTTTTAGGGGGGCTTCGTGTTTCGGATTTATCACCCACGAGCGCAGAGCTCTACCAGAGTACGGTACAGTACTAACCCTTTAGCTGCATGCGCACAAACACGCACACACCCATTCGTACATGTATGCACAGTGGCCAAAGGATTATACACGAGCTTATATCGTCGCTTATTCGCGTACCTTCGTATACAAGCTATATACATATCTATATACATTATTATACGTAGCTCTGTGCTCTCTCTTGGCGTGGATGAACAATTTCGCGTGCTCTAGCGCCTCGCTCTGCGCGCAGTCAGCTCTATACTAGCCTAGCTGGCTGATTCTATAAACTCGTTTCACCTCGCATGCGGAGTTGAAAAATAAAAATAACAATCAACCCTTCATCGCACGCGTGGGCAAACGAAAATGTTGTATGCAGTACACATACACGCGTGAATGGCTGCGGCGGAATCGAAATAATCTTAGCGAGGGCAAGAATGTTTCGGGAAATATTAACGGAATAATTACCGATGGATTTTCGTTGAAGCGGATATGTATAGCGTTATAAGCATTATTCGAATTTTCTTCCGGGGGGGGGGGGGGGNNNGGGGGGGGGGGGGGGGCGAGGGCGTATTATACGTGCGTAGCAAGCAAGCCATTACAATATATACCAGCTATATTTTCTACCAGGAATTTCTTAATGAAAAATTCTCGTTTCCGTTCGGCCTGTGTGTAGCGCACACACACACACACACCCCGCACACGTCTTTCAACCGGTAGAATTTACATTTCACGCGTTTTGCCTTCTCTGCCCTCGTTATATTCTAATCTCATTCGACTCTCTCTATCTCTCAGTCTCTCGTCCCGTGCGAGCAGCTGCCGGTGAGGCTCGAGCTTGCGAGCTTTCCGAGGCCCCCCCGCGCGCGCGTCATTTCGCACGCTCTGTCGCGCTTCTGCTGTGCTAGGTGCGGTGCAGCAGCACATTTTATAACGTATTCCACAGCTCGCAGCGTCTCTGACACAGATACGTTCCGTCCACTGCTGCTGCTGCTGCTACTATTCGACGCTTCTATATAACGCGATTCGTCTCTGCGACTATAAATCCAAATCTTTCGCATGTGTAAATATCGAGGAGTCTCGCGGACCGAACTTGTGCTCGCGCCGGGCGTGCACAGCTTTGATTTATCGACACAGTTTTCATGTTGCAGACGTCGAGGTCAAACTCTATACTTGCGGCGCGCGCGCGTGTGTGTGTAAGTGTGTACGCCTCGACGAAGAATGATAGAGATGCTCGGTTTGAATTTCGATTTTTTATTGTACTCCGACTAGATATTTTTACGTACTCGTATTGAAACGTCTCGAATAGATAAACTTTTTAACAAAGTCTTAAGGATATGAAAAGCGACTCTTAGATCATTATAAATGAGAAAGATTTGGCCCAAAGGTGCTGTTTAATCGTAATTGGTAGCCTAACAGAATATTATACTTGACTGTACGAGAAAGTTATTCTTACTTGTATCTGCAAAAGTGATTCGCCACTTGCGGGAGCGACATTCGCGCAGCACGCCATCTAGCGGCTGGTTGCAAAGTTGAATGAGGACAAAAAAGGAGGCTGTAGCGAAAATGAAAAAACTGTAGATCTAAGTGCAATTTTAACCCATGATAGTTTATGAAATTACAAGATTTTTGGTATAAAAAAATTAAATTTGGAGTTTCCATGCAAACTTGGGCAATACTGAGATCCAAAGTTTTGGCCATTTCACATTAAATGGTTACAAGAAGTGGCAGTTTTTCGTGTTCTGTGAGCTCAAATCACTTTATATATTATTAGACGTTATAGAAAATTTCATCAGCTTTCGAATGTTATAATAAAAAATGTATGTTTCGGGCAAATAAAAAACTTATGATTTTTTGAAAACGAAAAACTGCAAATTCCCAGAAGAGCCAATATTAAATGGCCAAAACATTGGATCTCAGTATTTCCTAAGTTTGCATGGAAACCCCAAATTTTTTTTTACCAAAAATCTTCTAACTTCATAAACTATCATCGGTTAAAATTTCACTTCAATCTAAAGTTTTTTTCCTTTTCGCTGCAGCCTCCATTTTTGCCCACTTTGTACTTCGCAACCAGCCACTAGATGGCGTGTTGCGCGAATGTCGTTCCCGCAAGTGGCGAATCACTTTTGAATATACAAGTAAGAGTAACTTTTCTAGTATGGTACCGACTTTCCGACCTTTTTTAACCTCACCTCTGGGCCAAATCTTTCGCATTTACAAATATCTAAGAGTTGCTTTTCATATTTCAGACGACGATTTCAAACTTTCGACAAGTGTGTACTATGTATGTGTATGTTTAAGCCTCAACGGAGAAATTTAAGCTCGCGTAGCTTATCTCCCGGTGCATGGTACTTTTGATCTTCCTATGCGCTTATAGAGTGCTAAGATGTTTTACGAAAAAACAGCATTCAGTAATAAAAGACAATGAAAAAACAAGAATAGCGGAATTTATAAAATTTTCCAAGATTCAAATCGTACGTGAACGTATATAGGTATATGAAAAAAAGAGAGATTCCATTCGAGACTGTCGAGTACAAAGTTAAAGTTCGCTTCAAGATTAAACAACTGGATGTTTTTGCTATACAATACCCTTACCTTACCTACTTGACCTGCATATTTTTTCAAATGATGGAAATAGATAACCGTTCGTGCTTGAGTACATTATGTACTGGGCAGATATTATAAATGTATTTTTGAGAAAACGATGAAGGACATCGATACAAAAGAAAACTTAAAGCTTCCGCTTGATATTTGCTCTTGATTTTATGTCGAGGTCCTCCAGTTTCATAAGATGCATTTCGATTATTTGGTTCAGTTTTCCAAAATTAAAAATCTTCATCAATAGTTCAGATAAAACAGTAAAAAGTTAAATATTTTTTATGCAAACAAATATATCGATAAATTAATTCATATTTCACTTTATAAAATGATTATTCAAACGATTTAAATGCCAAAGAAAAGTTCGATTCACGTAACATCCATCAAGTAGACAAATGTAACTCTCGTAGCCTTTAACGGCCTCGGTCGGTTGAGTCTTGGGGCGGCGTTTTAACGAGGCATCGATCTCTCGAACCTTTGAAGCGAGGCGATTCGAGTGATTTGAGAAACAGCGGCCCGATACTCGCGTACACAGTTACTTTGACGCCTGACCGACCCGAACAATTTTGCTTATCAAAAGGAGGAAATCAAATATTGCTGCACATTATACGTGTCGATCGGAGCGAAACGTTTGAAGAAATTTTGCCCTCCCCCCTGCCCCCTCGAATAAGTGCGATGCACTTAGCGGAATGAGTCGATAAATCAAACGCGCGCGCGCTTGGTGCACAATAAAATTGATAGATGAAAAAAAAACTCCGTTGTTATCAAGCCGCTCGAGGTTACAAAGCGACCGCCACCGATACGCTACATAGCTCGATTATATCGAAAAAAGAAAAATGAATAAAGGATTCGAGAGTGGATCGCCACCGCCGCAATAGTATTTAATGTCTTTTTGGGGATGGTTCGGATCAATTCGATATTCGTTTGTGGATTTTAATCGAAGCGGATAACTTCCCTTACCCTCCCGCTATCCGCGACCCCCGCGTATTCGAACGTCGTCGTTCGCATTCGAGTCACGTGAATCCGTGCGCGCTGTGCACCGCTAATTTTCCCGTTTTTAATACTCGAACGATCTCTCTCTCTCTCTGCATGAATTATACAACGATGAAAGGCCATTAATTTCGTGATTATACATGATTCATTCTGGTACTGCCACCGCCGTCGCTGTCGAGGGTACGATATATTATATTTGATCGTCGGATAATTTTCGCGCATGATAATTAGTACCCGCGCTCGCTCGGATATATATATATAATAATCCCAGCTACTTGAGAATCAAGCTCGGCTGCCGAGGGTTTTCGAGTCTAAGCTCGCGTACCACGTATATATGTACGATAAATGACTA